TCAGCAGGAGTCTGCTTGGATATTCTCTCCCTCTGCCCCTTCCCTCGCTCTCTCTCTCTCCAATAAATAAATAAATAAATAAATAAATCTTTAAAAAAAAAAAAGATTACTCTGGGGGCGCCTGGGTGGTTCAGTCCCTTAAGCGTCTGCCTTGGACTCAGGTCATGATCCCACAGTCCTGGGATAGAGCCCCACATAGGGCTCTCCTCTCAGTAGGAAGCCTGCTTCTCCCTCTCCCTCTGCCCCTCCCCCCTGCTCATGCTGTGTCTCTCTCTCCCTCTCAAATAAATAAAATCTTAAAAAAAAAAAAAGATTACTCTGGCTGATTTGGGAAATTGGATTGGAGGGGAGCAGAGTGGAACGAGAGACGGGATCAGAAGCTGATTAACGGGGAGCTGGGGCAGGGAGCAGAGCAGGCAGATGGGAAAATCAGCCAAGACCTTGAGCTGGCTTGGGTGGGGGTGGGATGGAGAAATGGCTCCAGGGTGCTAGCCTGGACAAACAGGCAGATGGCAGTAATAATTTCTTCAGATGGGCAAGGGAGGAGGAGGAGAGTGGGGAGCAGAGGAGGAATGACCAAGAAGTTAAAGAAGCTCCAGCTTCTGAGGCCACAGTCTACACAGACACCTCCGTGGTCCTGTACTGCATTTTGCATTCACAATGCTGTGTTCTTTTTCTTAAAGAGGGCCCCCAAACTGCCTAGGTGTTCGGCCCTACAAAACTGGGGAGGGAATGATCAATAGTGTTGGGCAAATTAATTAAAATGTCTGAGACACATCCAAGGAGTCAGATTCAATGTGAACTACATAATCCTGGAGCTCACAAGAGAGCCAGACATCAGCATCCAGGAATTGATGGTTTAAAGTCACAGAAATGAATAAAACCGCTGGTCCAGTGTTTGTCATTGCACCTGGATCACGTGCGAATCAAGATACAGATTCCCAGGTCTTATTCCAGACCTACTGAATTAGACTATTTGGAAGAAAGGCCCAGAAATCTGCTTTAACAAGTTTCCCAGATAATTCGTATGCACAAAAACATCTCAGGAGAAAGCGTGGAGAAACAAAAGAGGACCCAGGATGGGCCGAGGAGCTACCAACTGGAGGGGTCAGTGGGGCAGCGGAAGAACATGCAAGGGAACAGATCACTGATCTGGTCATTAATAAACATTTTTATATACACATGTGAATTACCTAATAGCCTTTGCCCATATTTCTATTGGTTTTTTTTTTCTATTGATTTCTAAGACTCCATTCCTGTTATATATTTTGCAACTATTTGCTTTACTAATTTGTCATCTGCCTTTCAACTTCATGACATCTTTTTTCTTACAGAAGTGTAATGTTTCATAAAGTTAAATCAATATTTTCCTTCATGGTTTCTGAGTTTTATTAAAGTTGGCAAACTCCAATAAATAAATAACTCCAAAGTTATTTTTAAAAGCCATCTATGTATATATTTTGATATCTATAATTTGGTTTTGACATTTAATCTTTACTCTAAATGGAATGTGTTTTTATGAATGGTGTGAGGCAACCGTCTCAACAGACTTTACTGAAGGCTTTACCTTCAGTTCCTGTCTTCACAACAGAACCATTTCTGGACTCCCCATCCCTGGACCTACGGGATATATTTTGGAAATCTGGCTGAACAATACATTTCAAAATGTATTGCCTATCAGTACACAGCTACTTTTCCAGGTAAACTTTATCAGTTTGTAAAAATTAAAGGAAGTTACAGGGCTGGCTTAAACTCATAAAGATCTCATGACCTTGGGGCGCCTAGGTGGCTCAGTCGTTAGGCGTCTGCCTTCGGCTCGGATCATCCCAGGGTCCTGGGATCGAGCCCTGTGAACCCTGCTTCTCCTTCCCCTAGTCCCCCTGCTTGTGTTCCCTCTCGCTGTCTCTCTCTCTCTGTCAAATAAATAAATAAAATCTTTAAAAAAAAAAAAAGATCTCATGACCTTTTAGTCTTGCTTAGTCATTGGAGCATCAGCCTTTGGCCAGGAGGTGGCCTTACTTCCTAGTGACACACACTACACAGAAATCTCAGACTTCATGGAATTTTGAATTTACAAACCTCTCAGCAAAAACGTTTTAACACTACAATTCTGCCAAGAGGCCCGCATGGCCTCTTTGTGACTCAACCAATGCATGCTCTGAATCTCTCTCCATCTTCTCCTCAATTTTTATGCTCCTGGCTCATACCTTTACAGAGTTGCCGATGCCCATTCTGAATCACAGTAAAGTGGTTCAGTTAATAATGTGACATGCCAAAGGATGCTCTATTTTAAGAGGCACTTCCAGGAAGCTTTGCTGGCCTCAAACACTGTGGCAGCCTTATAGGAGAGGAGGGAGTCTTTTGGCATCTCATAATTTATTCACCTGGCACCACTTATTCCAAAGGGAGATAAGGGAATGTGATGGAAAGAAGAGGAGACCAGGGAACCTGAGTTTTAGCCCCCTTTCTACTTCTAATGAGCTGTGTAGTTCAGATTAAGTTATTCTGCCTCTCCACTGGGCCTCCGCTGCCTCATTTGTAAAATGAGATTATTGGAACAGAATGGGCATTTCTAACTTTGCTTTCCACCACAGGTGACCCTTTAAAAATCGGAAGTAAGCTATAGATTCTCTCCCCCAGAATAATGCACCTTTGCACATGAGTATAAAATCAGACATTTTCAGGGGGTTCACAGATCCCCTAAAGCCTATCTCTGTACTCCTAGGATCAAGATCACAGAGACCTACCACAAGCTATTAAAAATAACAGAGAATACAACAAATATACACAGAATCACAAAACCTTAAGCTAAGTTGAATCACTTGCAGAACTAAGAGCATCTCCCCTGCAGATCCTAGGAGTAGGGAGTAGTTATTTAGGACAAAATAAATGAAAGTGCCAATAAGACTTGCCCTTGATTGAGGCCTGGCTCAGCCCTTTCCCTACATTCACAGGGGACTGGGTGAGACCTCCCATTCCAGAGCCAGGCTGCCCAGTTCAAGTCTTGGCTCCATCATCTACTGGTTGTCTGCCCTGGGCTCTGTGACAGTTTCTTCATCTATAACAAAAAAAGGAGGGTAAGGGAGTAGAAATAGTACCAATCTCAAGGACTGTTAATAACATACATAGGGTATTTGAAACAGGGCCTGGCCTACAGTAAGCCCTAAATGATTATCAGCTACTCTAGAAAGGTGGAACACATTTACTGAGTGGTTAAAATTGTGAGCTGTGAAGTTTAGGGAAGTCTTAAATACCTTGATGCCTTAGTTTTCCCAGATGTAAATAGGATCTGCTTCATCAGTTTGTGGTGGGGATTAATGAGATTGTCACATAAAAACTCTCACAATGCCTACCACATAGTAAGAGCTCAATAAATGTCAGCTGTTGCTATTAACAATTCTGGGGGGAAGGATTATCACTATCTTTTTTTTTTAATTTCCGAATAAAGGATAAGTTATCGTGCCCTGCTGATAGTACCTTAGCTAGCAAATGACTGTGTCAAGACTTCAACTGTGATGAGTCTGAAACCAGAATCTGTGAGCACTACCCTGTACTATCTCTTATTTGAACAGGGCTAAGAGAGCAGAAATGCTGACTCATACCTACTACCTTACCAAGAGAAAGAGGTGGGTGGTAACAGTCTAAAATTTGGGGTATTCTCCATGGGGGTCAACCCGGACTTTGGCAAAAAGCCCCTCTTTGCCACTCTTAGAAATGAAAGACTACAGAGGCTGGAACCCTGTCTCTACCAGTTCTAAGCCTTTCACAAGCGGTTGCTAAACCACAGCAATGACACCGAAAGAGGAAAAAAGAAGCCATTTCCCATAATAGCTTAACTAACAAAGTGAACCCTTTAAAATGAAAGTAGAGACCCTAAGGCTGAAAAAAGATATCAAGAGTGCTCCAAAGCAACGTAAAAAACTGCGGTCTAGAACACAAACAAGAGTCTTTAATTAACACATTTTTATTTAGAAAAGAATGACAGTTTATATCTATTTTTTGGGATCTCAAGCTCCAGGAGGCCTTCCCCTAAGTAAAAGAAGAGGAAGTTCCCAGCACAACCCACAGTGGCGGAGAGAGAAGTGGAGTGCCAATCAAGAGACCCCTTGGTGAGGCGCAGGTCCGCACTCTTTCGACACCAATTTCCTCCCCATTGAAACGGTACAGTGGGCACTGAGAACTTGCGAAACGGGCCACCGGAAGAAACAGGATGATCAGTTCAATAGAAGTCGGTGCTAATCACGTTGCTTCACATCTTCATATACTGACTTCTAAATGTATTTTGTGTACCTTTATCCAAAACATGCCCAGGGGTCGATCTTCAATCTACCACTGCTTAGAACAAAAGAGGCCTGAGGGATAGCCACCCCTGGAAGCGACGGCCCGAGGCGGCAGGAGCCCTCCCCCACGTAATTGGTACCCCGCTTCTGGGGCTGAGGTCGGTTCTCGCTGGCTCTCTCCCGCGTGCACCTCACCCCGCGGCGGCGCTCAGCCCCAGGGGAGGACCGCGAGGTCGCCATTCCAAGCCCGCCCCCCGCCCCGAGGATGGGAGTCAGAAGCCCCCTGGAATCTAGGCCTGTTTCTGCTTCCATCTGGCTGAAGGGCTCCCCTCCCCGGGCCTTAGTTTCCCCGTCCTTAGAAGGAGATCACGTGAAAGCCTCGTTCCTGCTCTAAATTTCTAATTCCATCACTCTTACAAGTAAACGTGTCTCGCAGAAATAGACGCCCTTCCCCTCAAGCAGGACAGCTGCCTGCGTCCCCGTGACCATTCCCCTCAACAACCCGTGCAATCTCACAGAAGTATGATGCATCGGAACTGAAAAACAGGCTGTTGCTTTCCCGAGGCACCAAACCTGGTCATCATCATCATCAGTCAACATGGATTTTCTCTCGGGCCTCTTCCCTCGATCCCGCAATCCCACGAAAACCCCTGCCTACCCTTCCCAGTTTCTAAACTCAAAGCTACCCCTTTCATGGGTTAAAAAAAAAAAAATACCCACCCAAAGCCGGCCTGGTGTAAGGTGCCACACCACTTTTTCTGGCATCCAGGGTTCCACCTCCGCCCCACCCTCTCCCCGGGGTGTCTTTTTAGCCGTGAACCCCTGGATCGGGGCGTAATACTCCCCATGCCCTCCCCTGGCAAACGGGCCGACCCCTTCTTCCTCCCCTGCACATCCCGGCTGGGAAGGTGGCAGCTCCCCGGCTTCAATCCCGGGAGACCCAAGCTCTTCCCAGCCCGCAGGCAGCAGCACCTGGGGGCAGCGGGCCCTCTGGAAAGAAAAGGGCAGCCCTCGGCCGCGGCCCCCACCCGGGCGGTGCGCGGGCAGGCCTCCCCCGCAGGGCTCCTGTCACTTACGGACGGCTCCTCCGGGCAGGGCCAAGCCGGCGGGCTGGCAGGCGGCGGAGTTTGCTGACTCAAAGGCACGGCGGCGGCGGCGGCGAGCGCCCAGGAGCGCACCCGAGCGCAGCCCCGCGCGCCCCGCGCACGTAGCGGCCCCGCGCCCGCGCTCAGCGCCCGCAGACCTCGTGGGGCCGCCCGGCCTCCCGCTTCCGCCGCCCCGACCGCCGCCGCCGCCGCACCACCCAGTCCAGGTACGGCCCCGCGCCGCCCGCAAGCCCCGCCCTCCTGCCCGAGGAAGATGAGGCGCACCCTCGGCGCGCTGGGCTGCAGCGGGCAGTGCAGCCGCCGGGGGGCGCCGCGGAGCCCCGATTCCGCCTTCCGCGTCCGCCAGATCGGGAGGGAATACCGGCGCTTGCCGGCACACTAAAACTGAAGGTATGCAAGGGGCATCCTCTGGAATCACCACTTGAAAGCCACCTGCAGTTTGCTAATCCCGCCCCCTTAGTGAGGGGGAGGATTGATGAACGGGGAGAGAGATGGATAGATAACGTGACCAACAAGGAAGGTTGAATGTTAATGGTAGAATCTAGGTGGTGGACAGATGGGGTGTTTACTGTAAAGGTCTTTCAACTTTGCTGTATATTTGAATTTTTTCGTAAAAAAACTTCTAGGGAAAAGAAATGAGATCTGCCAAGGGGCCTGAATCAGGAAACCATTTCCCAAATGGCACGTTGGCCTGAGTGTGACCCACCTGTTTGCATGGAAAACCCCAAGAATCACTTAAACAGCTCCTGGATGCCTACGGGCCAGAATAATAACGTAGCCTTATACTTCATTTTTCAAGCACAAATTTTCCCATTAGAGAGCCGGCTGCAGATTATCATTCAGGGGCATTCCAGGCCCATCTGAAAATGTGCCTATCTATCCTCCACACCTACTGACTTTGCCTAACAAAACTTCTAAATCTACAAAGTAGTGTCTTAACGTCTTGGGTGCTGAACGTGCAGCTCTGGATCTTGAAGCTCTGGTGTAAAAAAAAAAAAAAAATTAACAGTAAATTTAAAGATCTTATTGGCTTTTTTTCACCAATACACGAATCTGAAGGCATCCCAACTAGCAGATAGAAAGCTCTGAGGAACTGTACAATATGGAAGAGTTTATAGGCAGAAGGAAGCAGGACAAGTTATAGGAACAAAAAGCGGGTTGGTTGCGGTCAGGTTATTTTCCTTTAGGGTTTAGCCGGGGCCTATCAGGCAGATTCCCTAGCCAGTGCAGACCAGGTTATTCCTGATTGACTGGTTTAAGATTCCATTTCTGGGAGACACTAAAACTAAGGAAGTCGCAGTTTGGTGATGTGGGGCTTAGCATAACTGACTCCATTTGGGGCCTGTTGTCTTGTTTTTAACATTGCTATTTAATATCTAAAATCGCACGCAAGTCATATTACACAAAGTAACTGTAAACATGATCGCTTTTGAAAATCAAATTAAAGTGTATTTTTTAAATTCTTGTTCCTTCGCTCCACAAAGAAAAGCATTGACTGGAAAACAAAATAAAGCGTATGTCTAAGATCCCAAGAGATTCTGGAAAATTAAAATCTTTCTGAATGTATTATTGTCAAAGCACAACCTTACAGCTGTAGACAGAGTAGCAAAAAACCTTTGGAGAGTCTATAGGAAGTCGTTTAAATATCTGTTAGAATTATGACCCTAACAGAGAGGAAGAATATGAAAAGAATTCAGAATAGAATGAAGCAATAATGGAGTATTTTAATCCACTCCATGGGTGTTGCAGCTGGATGGCGTTGCAGGCTTGAAAATTGTAGTGTGCAGCCTGAATCCAGGGAATGGAGCTAAGTGACCACCACCTTTTTAGGTTCTGACTTTGCTATACCATCGGTGGGCAGGTAAAAAACTAGGACTTTCTGGTGCTTAAGAAATCCTAGCCAGCTGAGAAAATCACCATAAAATTGCTTTTAAGAAGAGATTCTTTTAACTGCCAAATCCTGCCTGACAGTGGCTGCTGGTATCCAGTTAACCGAGTTTAAACCCTAGCTTTACCACCTTTCATTATATGATTTGGGGAAAATAACTTAAACTTTTGTGCCTCATTTTCCCATATGAAAAAGAATGGTAAGAGGGGCGCCTGAGTGGCTCAGTCGTTAAGCGTCTGCCTTCGACTCACGTCATGATCCCAGGGTCCTGGGATCGAGCCCCGCATCGAGCCCCGCATCGAGCCCCACATCGGGCTCCCTGCTCCGCGGGAAGCCTGCTTCTCCCTCTCCCACTCCCCCTGCTTGTGTTCCCTCTCTCGCTGTCTCTGTCTGAAATAAACAAATGAAATCTTAAAAAGAAAAGGAAAAGTATGGTAAGAATAGCACCAGCCACCTAGGGTTGTTGTGGCCGTTAAGTGAAATAATCTAGGTATGGGGCGCCTCACTGGCTCAGTTAGTAGAGCATGTAACTCTTGGTCTTGGGGTCATGAGTTTGAGCCCCTTGTTGAGTGTAGAGATTGCTTTAGAAAAAAAGGTAAAATACTTCAAAAAAAATTTTTTTAATAATGCAGGTAAAGTTCTTGGAACTGTGCTGGGTAATAAATATATTTATTATTATAATTTTATTATAACTGTTATTATAATTTGAACCTCTTTTCTAATCTCTTCCATCTCCAACCTACCCTTAGTAGAAATATTAAGGAAAGCCACCTCCAGTACCCTAGCTCAAAAGAACACTGAGTTCTTCCTCCATCCCCTGGGAAGATTGCAAAATCCACAGACAGTAAAAATGGAAGTGGCCTGGACCCAGTGTTCAGAAATTATAACTAGCCGATACTATACAGAACATTACATCAAAAACTCTTTTTTTAAAAAAAGACTTGATTTATTAATTTGAGAGAGAGCATAGATGGAGAAGCAGACTCCCCACTGGGCAGATCGAACTCAGGGTTCGATCCCAGGATCCCGGGATCCTGACCTCAGCTGAAGGCAGATGCCTAACTGAGCCACCCGGGTGCCCCCATTAAAAACCCATTATCTTTAAATTTACATAAATGGTCCTGCCTTCTTGAGAAACATTGTCATGGTAGATATAATGTACAGAAGATGGCTTTTCTCACTCATCAATAAGGGATATGAGCCAAAAACTTAAACAAAACTGCACATAATTTGGATTTTGACTTCTGATCTTACAATCATAATCTTTTTTGAATAGTATGAGGACAGATTAACATGAATAAAAATAACCACTCCTGACCATTACCGTAACATGTTTTTTTCAAAATACCTCTCTTATGCACCCCTGCCAAACAATGAATAAAGAAAACTTTTGAGCCTGATTACCTATTTGTAAGATAAAGGGATTTAGACTTCTCATCCATCTATCCACCACCCCGTCTTCCTTATTTTTGTTGGCGGACTACCTTCTCTCAGTTAAAGGCCACGATCCTACCAACTTAGGCACTGCCTTTGACCTGCTCCCTTCCCGAATCCACAGATCCAAGTCCCATGCATTTCACTGTGGTCAGATCTTGGTGTTTCCTCACCTTCAGCCTTTTATTCTCTTATCCAGCTCTCCGCTCTCTCAGAATCCTACAATAACCTCTTCACTGTGGTCCAAGTTAGTGGTTTTCAAATGTTTTTAGCGGGGCACCTGGGTGGCTCAGTCGTTAAGCGTCTGCCTTCGGCTCAGGTCATGATCCCAGGGTCTTGGGATCGAGCCCCGCATCGAGCCCCGCATCGAGCCCCACATCGGGCTCCCTGCTCCGCGGGAAGCCTGCTTCTCCCTCTCCCACTCCCCCTGCTTGTGTTCCCTCTCTTGCTGTTTCTCTCTCCGTCAAATAAATAAAAATCAAGTGTTTTTAGCAAGGGCTAAAAATGAACCCCCTTTATAAAACCTACATAAACAGTATTGCATTACTATACATTTATTTGAAAACTTTGATTTTGTCACATTTGTATATCGTAAAGAAATGCAAGGGGCGCCTGCATGGCTCAGTTGGTTAAGCGTCTGCCTTCAGCTCAGGTCGTGATCCTGGGGTCCTGGGATCGAGCCCCGCATCAGGCTCAGCAGAGAGCCTGCTTCTCCCTTCCCTCTGCTGCTCCCCCCTGCTTGTTCTCTCTCTCTCTGTCAAATAAATAAAATCTTGGAAGGAAGGAAGGAAGGAAGGAAGAAAAAGTAAAAAAGAAAAGAAAGAAAGAAATCCAAGACCACCGGAAGCTGCTTTGTTGAATACCAACATTTGAAATCAGGGATTTGTGAATGATTATTGGAATCTCCTATCAGGATCAACATCGGATTTATTTCTGTATTTGATTGCTCAATATTGAAAAGAATCCTAATCTACTTAGAGAGGTATTTGTAAATAGTCACAGTTTGTAAACAGTTTTTTCTTCAATCTATTCAGAAGTTTGAACAAGGAGTAGTTGAAATTTTTGTTTGAAAGATGAAGCACTAAGTATAACACATCCTTGTGTTTTATTGCAAATAGAAAATGCAGGTCAGGGGGCGCCTGGCTGGCTCAGTCAGAGGAGCATGCCACTCTTGATCTCTGGGTTGTGAGTTCGAGCCCCACATTGGGTGTAGAGATGACTAAAAATAAATAAATAGATAAACTTTAAGAAAAAAAAAAGAAAATACAGGTCAGAAGACCAGTATTTACAGTAGGTGCTAGCATACATATAATGGGAATTATTGCCACACGATATGCTGGTTTTCCAGGCAACACCAGATGGATGTCCTATGAGTCACTTCCGTTCTGACACTGTCCCCCTGGAGTTAGTGTCAGATCCCATAGGTTAAGTGCTCAGTCCCATAAGGCTGCCTGCACTTCGACGCCAATTCAAGTTCCAAGCTATCACCTGTACAGACGGTTCCTGACTTAAGATGGTTCCATTTAGAATTTTTTGACTTAACGATGCTGTGAAAGTGATATATATCTTCACTAGAAACTATATTTCAGATTTTGAATTTTGATCTTCTCCCAGGCTGTGATATGTGGTATGATCTTC